TCCCAAGTTTTAGGATTATCCAAAGGGGGAAAATAATACAAGCTTCTAGTAAGGAACATACATAATAGATGGACTAACAGCTCCCCCTTCACAGCTCGTATTGTGTTAACAACATCTTAAACCCGTGTTCCTCATAGCTGCCTCTACAATTCTTGCACATGGCAGGAGCCATTTTTCCAAAGGAAATGAAAATGCATCAGTCCTACCACTCAGCCAAGTTGTTCATTATCTAAAGAGCTTTCAGGCTCTTCTTCTTTGGATAACTGAGACTCCATAGGAGTATAAACCCTCTACTACTACAGTTGGGCAGTTTGATAATAACTAACATTTTAACTGCTCATTATTGTATATTTACAAAGTTAAGAGGGGAGAGAACATTGAACCTGGATTTTTGTCTCTGCTCTGCTAATACATGGCCTCCAGCAAGTCACTTCCCATCTCTGGGTTTCTGGAGATGATCTTCAATGTCCCTTCCAACTCTAAAAAGTTCAGAGATTCTAAGAGTTGGAAGGAACTTGAAATCATTTAGTTCAAACCATACCTAAGCAGGAATCTTCTCCAAAACATCTCCAATATTACAGCCACTCAGCCTCTGCTTAAAGACCTTCAATGACCGGCAACTCGCTACCTCATGAGAAAACCCACCACACTTTTTGACAGCTTTACTTGTTAGAAAATTTTCCTTACATTAAATCTAACTCTGTTTCTCGGCAACTTCCTTCCTCTGCTCCTAGATCTGCCCTTTGGGTCCAAGATGAACAAATCTAATAACTTTTACAGTTCTGTGATACTGGTGCCAGATGCAAAGAGTATTAAATGCTCTCCTCTGTGGATGAAGGATTCTCAAATTCAGGTAGAGCCACAGAGGTGAGAAATGCCTGGTCCTTTTACAGTACAGTATGTTGGCAATATTCTCACTCTAAAGTTAGTTCCTAAATCAAACGTAGGAGTTTCTACCAGTCTAGAGTTTCTAGTCAAACAATAATTTATAATAATAATAGCTTATGTTTATGTTTAAGGTTTTCAAAGTGCTTTAAGCACATTTTCATATTGTATTTATATATATTATACCTTGATCATTTTCCTCAACATATAAAACCAGTTACTTGGGTCCCCTCTCAAGGGACTAACAGATAGTTATATGAGAAGCCAGGTCCTAGGTTTTATTCCCACAAGTTATAATGCAAAGACACCATTCAGAAACAAGGATGTCTCAGAAATTAGAAGAGAAGAAATGTAGTACAAATCCCATAAGGCTTGTATTTCTTTTATATTTAGCTATATCTCTGACCACCCATAAGGTCAGTAGGCCATGATACTTAAATTATATACCCATCTCACCTTACATGTATATAATACTTCATACTTCTCTCTTCCTCTTCTCAATCCCTTGAAATCTGACTTCCAACTACATTGCTCAGCTGAAACTGCTCTCTCCGAAGTTACCAATTATCTCTTAATTACTAAATCTAACGGTCTCTTCTCAAGCCTCATCTTTTTTTTTTAGTTTTATTAATTTATTTTGGTTAATCAACAATCACTTCCATATGCTTTTGAGTTGAAAATTTTTCTCCCCCTTCCTCCCCCCCTCCCCAAGACAGAGCATAATCTGATATAGGCTTTACATTTACATTCCTATTAAACATATTTTCACATTAGTGAAGTTGTAAGTAAAAATTAAAACCAATAGGAGGAACCATCAGAAAGATGAAACAAAACTCAACAGAAGGTAAAAATAAGTGAGAGCGATTCGACTTCCATAGTTCTTTCTTTGAATGTGGACAGCATTTTCCATCCTGAGGCCTCTGGAGGTGTCTTAGATCCTTGTAATGCTGAGAAGGGTTCAGTTTAACATTCTTAGTCGTTGCATAACATGGCTGCTATTGTGTACAAAGTCCTTTTGGTTCTGAAGCTCACTTCACTCAGCATCAGACCATACAAAGTCTTCCCAGGTTTTTCTGAAGTCAGCCTGTTCATCATTTCTTATAGCACAATAGTATTCCATTACATTCATATACCACAACTTGCTCAGCCATTCCCCAATTGATGGGCATCCTCTCAATTTCCAATTCTTTGCCACCACAAAAAGAGCTGCTATGTATATTTTTGTGCATGTGGGTCCTTTTCCCATTTGTTTGATCTCTTTGGGATATAGCCCTAGAAGTGCTATTGCTGGATCAAAGGGTATGCACATTCTTGTAGCCCTTTGGGCATAGTTCCAAATCGTTCTCCAAAATGGCTGGATCATTTCACAACTCCACCAACAATGTATTAGTGTTCCAATTTTCCTACATCTTCTCCAACATTTATCATTTTCCTGTTTTGTCATGTTGGCCAATCTGATAGGTGTGACGTGGTACGTCAGGGTTGTTTTGATTTGCATTTCTCTAATCAATAACGATTTAGAGCATTTTTTCATATGACTACAGATGGCTTTAATTTCTCCACCTGAGAACTGTCTGTTCATATCCTTTGACCGTTCATCAATTGGGGAATGGCTTGTGTTCTCATAAATTTGTCTTAATTCTCTATATATTTTAGAAATGATCAAGCCTCATCTTTCTTTACCTCTCTACAGCATTACACACTATTGAACACATTTTCTTCTGTTTTTGTGACACTGTTCTCTCCTGGTTTTCCTCCTCTGTCTCCTTTGTTGGATCTTCATCCTTGTTACACCAAATGTGAGTGGACCCCAAAAGTTATCTTAGACCTTCTCTTTTTTCTACATTTTCTTATTTTCAGAGTCTCTCTCCTGAACCTCAATTTTCCATTGCCAGCTGCCTAGTTCACATTTAGATGTGGATCACAACTCCTCTTTCCCCACAAACTCACTCCTTTTCTGAACTACTCTATAATCATTACAGGACAACAACATCCTTTAGAACACCCAGGTTCCCAGCTTCGATATCATTCTTGACTTATCACTCTCACTCACCCTGCACATCCTCAGTCAGCTGCTAAATCTTGTTTCTATCTTTTGAATATTCCCCCTCTCCTCTCTTCTACACTCACACAACAACCACACTAGTTCAAGCCCTTATCACTTTTCACCTGGATAAACGGAACAGGTTCCTAATTGGTCTCTCTACTTCAAGCCTTTCCTCATTCCAAACCATCCTCCATACAGCTATTCAAGCAATTTTTCTAATCAGAAGGTCTGATCATGTTACCTGTCCCCAATCCAATTCAAACTCCAGTGGCTTCTTGTTAATTCTAGGACAAATTATAATTCATTATAAATACAATGGGACTTAAATCTTTTCCTAATCTGGCTCTTTTAACCTTTCTAGGCTCCCTAAACATTACTACTCTCCATGCACTTTATGATCCAAACACAGGAGAATTCTCAATCCACCTCCCTGTCTTTACAACTCTGCATTTTTCCTCCATGCTAGGAATTCACTCCCTTCTCTCTTCTGCCTCTTGGAATTCCTGGGTTCCTTCAAGATCTAGCTCAACCACCAACTTCTACATGAAACCTTCCAGGTCCCCAAGCTTCTAGTGTACTTCCTCTCAAAATTATCTATTTGTCTGGTATATATCATGTGTACATACTCACATATGTACGTGCTGTCTCCCCTGCTACATTACAAACTTCTCGAGGACAAGGCCTGTTTCACTTTTGTCTTTGTATCCCCAATGCTTAGCACAGAATCTGGCACGTCAAAAAGCATTTATTAAGCGTCTACTATGTGCTAGTAACTGGCCAAGCAGTAGGAATACCAATAAAGGCAAAAACAGTCCCTCTAAAAGGGTGCTTATAATTTAATGGTCATCAATTGATCAATTTTCAAAATGCTTTCATACGCACTATATCATTAGTATCTCAGAATCCTAGGGCTGGAAGGGACCTCTGAAGGCATCTAGTCCAAGTTGAAATATTCTTTACAGACAGCCAATTAGTCTCTGTTGGCTCCAGACTGCTCCAGTGACAGATAATCATTAGATAAGAAAACTTAGGCCAAGCTCACAGAGCAAGTTAGCAGGCAGGGAACTACAGGAACCTGGTTCTTCTGAATTCCAGCCAGAGACTGCTAGGACAAAAAGCTTAAGTTTCTCAATTCTTATCAATTTCTCAGGCTCAGTCTCTCATCTATCCTCTAGCCCCTACTTGTGACACCCTTGGCTCCCCCTGGCTCAGAGGCTCCTTTCCCCTTTTTATGGGCCCAGGCAGAGCTCTTACTAACTAGTTGCCTAGCAATCACCAAATCTCCACGATTCTATAACACGCTTCCACAGATGTTAACAGGTAGGTGACTTTCCCTTTGCTAGAAAGGCACTCTTTTCTCTCCCTGGACCCACCGGGCTTCCTTCTTGACCCTTCAAAGTCCTTTCCCCTCTATCCTAGTGACTTCTGCACCATCTTCCCTGTCCGACTACAGGATCATAGATTTAGAGACTGAAGGAGCCTGACAGCTCTGGTTCAACCCCCTCATTTTATACAGAAGGAAAGAGGTGCCCAAAACAGTGAAGTGCCCAGGAAAATGAAAATTCCTTGAAGCCAGAACCGGTCTCATTTTTGTATCTGCACACCCAGCATCTATCACAGAGCCTGGCAAACAGCAGGAACATAATAAGTGCTTATTACTTGACTGCCCAAGGTCACATCGGTACTTGGTTGCAAATTTAGGATTCGAACTCAGGTCTTCTCTATTCCGAAACTACCACTGTAGTTCCCCCGTTTCGCTGCCTCTCCAAGCTTTCCCCTCAGTGACCCTCCTTGGCACGCCCTCCCCTCCCCTCTCTTCTCAGGATGCACTAGCGCCCCAGTGACCCCCTCAGTCGCCCCTCCTCAGCACCCGCTCTCGTCCTGCAGGGGCTCCCTCAGGCCCTGCGCCTTCGGAGCTCCATCGCTGGTCCCCGGGAGCCTTCGAGGGTCCGCCCCCCCGTGACCCCTCAGGCCCTTGTCCCTCCCCCACGCCTGTCACCCGTCGCCCGGGGACCTTCCCCCAGGGACCGCTCCTCAGACTCTCTAGGGATCCCCCCAGGCCTCTCACCTCCTCCAGGTCCCGTTCGCCGGCGGCACCTCCAACCTCCACCTCCACCACCGCCGCCATCTTCCCCACTCTCGCTCTGCGCCTGCGTCCGCCCCCTCAGTTTTAGCGTCAGCTGCTTCCGCCGTTCGGTATCTCCTAGCCAATCATCGGCGGCAGCTTGGTCCGGGAGGGGCGGGGCCTCGAAGCAACCTAAAGGTGCTGTCAGTGTTTGAGGGAGCGTCGTCCTGCTCCTCCCTCCGGACTGCTTCCGTATGTCCCCAACGGAACCGCCAAGCTTTGGAAACATTCCCCAGTCCTATGAATAATGTAAGCGTAGGTCTAGTTGAGGGAAGCTGTGCATCTCTTTCTCTGAAACTCTTCCTGACTACTCCTCTAGGGCCCAGTATGGTCCGAGGAAAGGACGCACTTGGGTGATGCTCCCTTAGCTCACGCTCAACGCTCCTCCCCCCTTCCACATCGCAACTCCCGGCTCTGAGGACTACGGGTCCCAGTGTGCACTGAAAGATTGTGATGTGGAAAGTTACCTAGGAGAGGACGCCCAGAAATAGAAAGTCGCGCCTTCTCTCCCTAAGCGAGTAAAGGGAGCCCGCGCGAGGGCGGGGCCAGGGGTTGGAGGTTGGAGGTCAGAGTGCTGTAGTGGCGGGAACCTAGGCGATGTGGCTGGAGACGCGAGAAGGGGAGGAATGAAAAGTGAGGCTGGAAAGGTAGGTTGGGGGCAGCTTGTGTAGAAGCTCGAGGACCTGAACTTTAGGAAGATCCCTTTGGACCGGAGTGGGGAGAGAGCTGGGACAGGGAGACCGGCAAGCAGGCTCCGCGATCCTGGCGGGAGGGGAGGAGGCTCTCAGCAAGACGAATCTGCAAGCACTTATTAAATGCCCACTGTGTTCCAGGCTGGGACAGCTAGCTGGCGAAGGGGGTAGAGGTCCGGGCTTGGAATCTGGAAGACCCAAGGTCAAAGGTGGCGGCAGACACCTACTAATTGTGAACCTGGGCAAATCACTTAACCCTGTTTGTCTCGGTTTCCTCATATTGAAAATGAGCTAGAGAAGGAAATGGCAAACCAGTCCAGTATCGTTACAAGAAAACCCTAAACGGGATTACGGAGAGCCGGACACAATTGAAACGACTCAACAACAACAAAGCGTTCCAGGCGCGGAGGGTGCAAAGAAAGGCAGGAAAACAAACCCAGTTCATAGTCAAATGGGGCAGACAGCAAGGAAACAGCTACGTACAACAAGAAGACTAGGAAATAACCGACAGAGGGAAGATCCTAGCATTGAAGGGCTTCTGTAGAGGACCGAATTTTAGTTGGATTTGAAGGAAGCAAGGGTGGAGGGGAGTCGGAGATTGAGGAGGGAGAACATTCCAGGAATCGGCGACAGCCAGCGGGAAGGCCCAGAGTAGAGATCCAGCAAGGAAAGGGATAGAAAGAAGTAAGACCCTCACCTCCACCATTGTCAGCTTCCTTATGTGTCTGGTCTTCCCCTTCTTTAGATTGTAAGCTCCTTGAGGGCAAGGACTTCTTCTTTTTCTTATATCCCGGGTACTTAGCACAGTGAATAGACACTTAATTATCGAATTAAACTGAAGTATGAGTAGAGAGAAAGGGATAGATAGGAGGATGTGAAGAATGTAGATTTTAGGAGTCACCTTCCTGGAGAATACAGTATTTAAACTTGAGGGAGCTGATGAAGTCTCAGAGAGAGAAAGAAAAGAGAAGAGGGCTCAAGACCTGAACTTTAGAGAACACACGCGCACACACACACACACACACACACACACACACACACACATACGGTTGGAGGGAGGGGAGGAGGAGCTGGGGTAAGATGTGGGGAGTGATTCCACAAAGGAGACTTGAGAAGGAGCCATCAGACAGAAAGGAAGGGTTCAGAGAAGGAACCTAGTCACAGAAACTCAAAGAGAGTATCCAGGAGCAAAATACCCAACAGTGTAAGGGGGAAATTTAGAGATCGTTTGGAACTTTGGAGAGCATAGTTACTGTAGAACTGGCCTGTGCAACCTGCAGCCTGCAGGCCACCAAAGGATTTCCAAGGCCCATGAAAAATGTAGAGAAGAACATCCTTTATATGTAGAGGAAATCCTTTGACTTGCCACAGGCTGCAGCCATAATCAGTGGTGGGTCGTGCAGGCCTGTTGTAGAGTGTTGAAGTCAGAAGCCTCTTTGCCTAGGGTTAAGGGAGTGGGAGGTGAGGAAGTGGTTGTCCGGGACTATACACCCCTTCTGGGAAAGGGAAGAGAGATAAAGGATAATAGCCTGAGGGGATGGTAGGGTCACTTGAGGGTTTTTTTTTTATGGCTAGGAAGATCTGGGCTATTTTGTAGGGTTGGAACCAACCCATTAGAAGAGATTGAAAATTATAGGTAGAGAATGATTTGTGGGGCCAATTTGCTTCCATCCTCACACTCAAACCTACCCTGTGAATCTCTCCATCTCTCCCCACCAGCCAGCCCTTTACACCGTGGCTCATTTCCTGTACTCTCTCCTTGTTCTATGTTACAAATCAATACCTCCTTCCCCACTGACCTGCCCTACAACCACTCCTTACATCCACTACATTGTATACCCCTTACATATGACCAGCCCTACCTGCCCTGATCTATCTACTTTATCCCTCATTGAATATTCTTACAAGTCTTTAAATGGACCTCATATACCCTGTCCCATTCCCTAGGTCCCTACACACTGGGTGACATCCCCTGCACACAGACTGGATGGCTCTAGACACATGCATACCCAAGAATCTACATACATCCCTTCCACATCTCCTGAATAGTGTGTGTGTACCTCAGATATCTCAAATTGCATATTCCTTCACATATGTATGCACACAGCAACCCACCTAACATTCACAATTCCTGACCACATGACACTACCCATTCCCCATTATGCACCCCGTCTTATCCCCTGTACCCTCCACACTGCACATTCCCTCACACTCATGCTGACCTGCTTTCCCCCACATTCCCTATATTATCCGTATGATACATTACACACAAAAACAGATTCCTCCACTACGTACATGCAGCCCATCTCTTTCCCCTATAACCTCACTGCACATACCCTTACAATGCACCACTAATCCACTCTTTAAACCCTCTTGTTATCCTCTTTAGCCCCCAGCTGCTCCCCACTGCACACATTCTCATACATAGTGACTAGACCTACACACCCTTGGCCTCATTCCCAGTGGCCATTGGATTTCCTATCCACATGCATACTCTCATCATTCTCACCCACTGCATCTGTTCTATTCCCTTACAATGAATTTTTCTTACTCACACTGTACTTATATGACCAACCCTAATGCTCTACTTCATTCCTTACCTCACCCCCTAATACCACCATATACCGTTCTCTAACAGAGTCTAAATACAGGCACACCACCCCTCATGTAGCTACACCCATTGACATGCTTTTTCCCAGCATCCTCTCATATGCATTCTTTGACTGGCCTAATCTCTCTACACTGCACAATTCCTGTCTCACTAATCACTACCTATGCTCTCTACCCAACACGACCCTGTCTGGTTTAACATTCCACTGACCAAACCAAGTAGCCAAACCCACCATACCTCCTACAACCCCTTCTACTCCATATGCACTCAGACCACAGACAAATCTCTATGCAATTCATATGTTCACCGTGTTTTTAATTGAATTTGTCCTGCACGGGCATGTTCTGGTTGCTGTAGGGGATAGATAGAAGAAGACAGGTCCCTGTCCTCCTGGAGCTCACAGGCAACTATTGTACAAGACAGTGTATAGCTCCCATCTCTCATGTGCTTTGACATTTATACAAGTTTTTGCATAATAACCTTATGAGAAAGGTAGTATGAAGTGTTATTTTACAGATAAGAAAACTAAACCTTTGAGAAGAAAAATTACCAGATAGCTACTAAATGGCAAGGATTTGAACCCACAACTCCGTCCTCTTTCCATGATACCCCACTGCTTCTCAGTACATGATAAATGCTATAGAAATGGTACAGACTATATAAGTATTAAGTTCAGAGGAGAGAGATCTTTAAGTGGCATAATTAAAGGCTTCATGGAAGGGAGAATTTGAAATAGGGTTTAAACTATGGCTTTGAATTCAGTCAGTAGAAACTGAGATAGGGCATTCCAGGCAGAAGAGGGAAAGGCATAAATGTGAGAAAGCACAGGTATGTTCCAGGCTCAGTGGAAGGATGGCCTGGCTGGAGAGTGTAAGTATAGGGTGTAAGAAGGGGACCAGTGGGAAATGTGATTGGAAAAGTAAGGCTAGGGGCAGCCCCCAGAGACTTTGGAATGGAAGGTGGAGCAGTCTGGATTTTATCCTGTAGGCAGTGGGGAGCCATCGTTTATTTTTGAGCAGGAGAAGAGTGTGCATTAGGAAGAGTAGTATACAGAATCATAACTCTCAATTTGATGGGACTTCAATTTTACCAAGTTATTTTTCTTACATTGACCCTATGAGGAAACCAAGGCTCAGAGAGGGTTCAGTGACTTGTCCGTGATTGCCTATGAATAACTCACGTTTATATCATTACTGATGATTCACAAAGTGATTTTCTCAAGATAGTCGGGGGGGGGGGAGGCAGGAGAATCTTCATTAGCCCTATTTTATAGTTAAGGAAATACAGGTTCAAAGAGCATGAATGACTTGCTTAAATTGTGCAGCTGTTGTCTGTTAGAAGGTAAATTGGAGGAAAAGACGCTGCAGGCAGAGGGGATAGTTAAATGTTATTTTGCATTTGTTCTCCATTTGTTTCTTGGGTGTGCTTCTTTGCTAGAAGAGACTAGATGTTTCTCAGAGACCAGAACAGGCCTTCCTTCCCGATGTCCTTTCACTGCACCTAGTTGAGGGCTGTCTGTTTGTATACAAATTGACCACTTCACGGATGCTTCTTTCCCAATAGATAAGTGGACTGTTCCTTTGGGCACATTTTCTTCTCTTGCTTCACCCTGCCCCACACTCCCTCCACATTTCTTTCTCCTCAGAATCATCGTCTACTGAAGGGACCAAGAAGAAGCTGAGAGGGCCAATGTGGTGACAGGGTTTGCGTGCATCTTGAGAGAAG